TCGGGCAGCGAGACCTCATCTCTACAATAATCAAAAAATTAGCCGGGCGTGGTAGCACATGCCTGTAATTCCGGCTACTCAGAAGGCTGAGGAGGAAGGATCGCCGGAGCCCAGCAGGTCAAGGCTGCGGTGGCCGGAAGTGGCCACTGCGCTCCAGTCTGGGCGACAGAGTGAGACTTCAACTCAAAAAAAAAAAAAAAAAAAAAAATATATATATATATATATATATATATATAGTCAATAGTTGATCTACCAAATACTAATAATAAAATTTTAGTGAGTCAAATGAACTTGGTTATCCCATGGAGTCACAGCGAGAAGTACAGATATGTATGAAAAGCCACAGGGCTGCATGGAGCTATGACTGATCAACATTACAGAAATACTGACTATCATGGCAAACTGTTCAACGGGCTTGAACGAAGGCATACTAATAAGTCAGAAATCCTGGCTGTGGCTTAGCATGCAACTTGTTCATCACTGAAAGAGTTAAGAAGCCCAGTAGATGCTGTGAGCCCTTTTGTATTCTACAATGGAACTGAATTCTCATTGTGATCATGTGGCTGTGAATTAAAACTCCTCTGTTTGCAGGGAATATTAAGATGCTGACTTTCTGCCAGTCAATTATCTTCTTCTTCTGTCTAATCTGCCATCGAATTTCTCCCAGACTAAGAAATTCAAACTAGACTGAGAGCCACACTGATGGATATCTATGTCCATATAATGCAAATTATCCTGGGAACAACGTGGTTGGTCATAATCCCAAAGTTCTCCATAACATACTTCATATTAAAGCACAACACACACACAAAAATTCCACGAAGGTGTTCCTTCATGGAATGGCAGAAAAGAGGTCTAAAAGGCCTCATAAGCCAGCCATTTAAAAAATGCAGAGCAAATAGGGGAAAACCAGTAACTTTCTTTGGGAATGTTTACGCAGGAAACATTCCTTCAACCTCTCTCAGTTCCTGGGGCATACATTATGCAAATTGTTTTACCACAGCACCAATCTCCTTTTTTCTTTAGGAACCCTTTGTGTCCCCACCCTGTTGCTGGCTGGCTGGGAGCACGCCCTCCACCGCCTGCCGGCTGCCAGAGCCACACACATAATGTGGGCTTTGTTTACGTGTCCATAAATATTTGACAATTCAGAAGTAGTGCAGTTCCCAGCACAAACAGAAAGGAATATTCCTAAGTAATTTCAGGGTCATCGGCACACTACAAGGGCTCCCCCAAACAGAAACAGACGTACAAAGGCAGAGGAATGAGGGGGTCATTCAGGGTGGGAACTATGTCAAGTGGGTCAGTCTGTATCTGGGGGAGATTTGCCAAGCTGGCACTGCAGGTATAGGAAAAACTGAAAGCCTTTGTTGCACAAGGAAAACCTCTTCTACCTGATCCTTATGCCTTGGCATCCACTTGCAAATGCATTATAAGTAAGCTAAATCCCTTAGCTAGACTCAAATGGAAACCTGGCAGCATTACTGGCTCTTACACTCTGCCTGCAGGAGAATTCCTAGGAGAAAATCACTGACTATTCACAGTGCCGTTCTTTGGAGAAAGCTGCAGTTGCGGGTCTGTAGCCACGTACAGGGTAAAAGCACACCTGTGTAGCAGAGAGTCAAGAATAAAGGCTTGATAGGAGTCAGTGAAGGCTCCGGGGCTTGCTGAAATCCTAACAGCTGTGCTATGAACAACAGCCCATAAAGCCCATTTAAAGTACTCACACATAAGGAATTTTCTGCTCTTTGTGTACTATTCCCTATATTTAAACTCCCTATTTAACTCTGATCTCCTACAAAACTAAAATCAGTTTATTTTCAATTGATACTAATGATTTAGGAATACTAATCAACTGACGCACCAAGGACAAACTACAAGGAAAAGAGCTACCTGGAGTCCTGATATCATTTTCTTTGCTTCCTCCATTTCTCTTTCTAAATGTTCTTGCTGTTCCAACAGCTGTTCTTCCCATGAGGTCTCCAGATAGGTTCCAGGACTCCCTGGCCGCCAGTCTCGAGATAGTGGAGAATCTGCCTCCTCTACAAAATGAAAGGAGGGAGTACAGTTCATGGTGAAGAAAACTGATTTCTGGCAGAAAACATTCACAGGGAGCATTCACAGGTTCAGGTCACCTGCCTTCCGAACCTGTCCTCAGGGCACAAACTGGACTCTCCAGCAGGTGGGGTTGTGAGGCATTAAAAAAAAAAAAAAAAAAAAAAAAATCGCTGTTTATTCAGGCTCCAGGTTCATGAAAGCCTCATTTACTGCTAGAAAAATATATCCCTTTCAAAACCTTAAGGAAGCAACAAGACTCTCTCTGTAGAGTTTTGGTATGGGACACACAGATTTTACTCTTAATTTTTTAGAACTGACATTCCCAAAGCCTGATTTGGCCAGGTACAAAGAGAAGTGCTGTCACATACAATGGAAACAAAATTCCTATTGGTTAGTCTGAACTTTGATATTTCTTTGACCGTTCGGTCAAAATGGAACCACTTTCACATAGAACACCATTTGAGTCACATAGGAAACAAAGCAATAAAAGCATACTTGCACAAACTGTTTACTACCTCTCCCTGGTTTTGTTTTATTTTTTCCCACCTTTAAGGTCTCTGCTCTGGTTTCCTTGTCTATCTATTTTATACTATCTAATAGTATGAACAGTCATTTAAAATGCATTATGGACACAGCAGGATATAAACTTCATAGATTTCTTCATTTATCATTCATAAGATGAGAGTAATAATCCCTTTGGGTTGTTGTAAAGATTAAATGAGGTAACTTAAGTGCAGGGTCTGGTGGTGCCTGGCCAAGAGCAAAGCTCAGTAAATGTTCTCTCTCTCTCCCCAAGGCCCCAGGAGTGTCTTACTCAGTAACATGTCTGACTCTTTGGAACTAATGTCAGGGCCATAGAGGGAGCAGAGAAAGAAATTCAATTACAGTTTTTCTTCGGAGGACTTCAGTTTCATTTCAACCCTTATGGGTAAATAAAATTCTACCAAAGTCTCATGCTGGGCTTCTTCTATGTTTGCCTCTATGTTTATGTAAGAAGAAAGAGAGCAACTGAGACAGAGTAAGGAGAAGTCTAAACAAAGGGAACTCTTATGGTCCTTTCTGTAGCCTCATGCCAAGCCTGATGTAGTCCTGTTCTCACAGACAGCTCATACAATATATTCCTGGCCCCAATTTAAGTTAGGAAAGTACTAAAATTATTTGTACATATAAAAAGGAATAAAACAGTTTTTACTTGAGTAAGACTTCTGTCTGTCCCTAAGTCATTTCCTAATTCATAGGCAGCGAGCTGAGAAATGACCTGTCAATGTTGCTGCAAGATATTTGACAGCTAGGACACCAGAAATGACATTCTGCAAAAGAATAACCATATTAATTGGCTCAAAGTCATTAAAGCCCTCTAGTGCTGACCCTGCACGCACAGACATAGGAGGCCAGGGAGCTTACAGGTAATCAGAACCTCTGTACTCTTCAAGCTGAGGGCTCTTCCCTGAGCCAACCCAGGCAGGTGGGGAGACAGTACCTGTTCTGTTCTCTATTCCTTCAGAGGGAATAATAACAAAATCCGCCTTCTCTTCTGACTGGGTTATAATGGATTCGCTCTTTGCACTGTGGATTGGACTGGGTGAAGTCAGGCTGTGATTGAAGAAAGAGGAAGAGAAACAGTTATTATGAAGAGCTGTTTAGAAGCCGGCTCTCATGACTTATCCCAAAGACATGTGCCTATTCATCTTACTCCTCATGTTGAACACAGTACCTGGCTCACAGAAAAATGCATATATATTTGTTCAAGACTGAACTTGTCGGGCAGCTCATGCTTGCAATCCCAGCACTTTGGGAGGCTCAGGCTCCAAGAGGATCATTTAAGACTAGGAGTTCGAGACCGACCTGGGCAACATAGTGAGACTCTGTCTCTACAAAAAAAAGTTTTTAATTAGCTGGGCATGGTGGCACACGCCTGTAGTCCTAGCAACTCGGGAGACGGACATGGGAGGATTGCTTGAGCCCAGGAGTTGGGAAGCTGTAGTAAGCCATGATTGCACCACTGTTCTCCAACCTGGATAACAGAGCAAGACCTCAACTCAAAAAAAAAAAGAAAAAGAAAAAGAAAAAGAAAAAGGATGAATTTGTTGAACAAATGAAATGAAAGCTGAATGAACCCATGCTAGGAAGTCTTTTCCATAACAAGGATGCATTTAAGCCTAATCATTGAGAAAGGGTTCATCAGATGGATGAGTAACCTAGCATTCAAAGAACTCCAAGTTTTGTTTTATCTCCCACTACCTCCACCACCACCATCCCTGGGCCCATATTCAGAGACTGATGCCAGTATGTGTCTTAGTAGATTTTGAAGCTAGAAGAAAATTCTATTTCCAATATACTGATCTCTCACTGGCACAAACAATACTAGCACAGTGATCATGGAAGATCAGTTCTGCGATGATCCCAGAGGAGAGAAGGGTGTAAGTGGCGATGCAGCACTGTACACACATTCCTAGAGTGTGTACAGTGCCAAGCAGGACAGAGGGGCAAGACCTGCGATGGGCTAGTGGAGTACAGGCTTACTTAATTTACTCCCAAAGAGTTATTTCTATTTCTGCCACAATATTTCCAAACTGTCCTCAGAAACCTCTCAACAATTCTTAAGTTCTGCTATAACTACTAGCCTTGGAAAGAGCTGTTCGAATTTCCAGGGAAGTGGAAATGCAAATCTCCAGAACAACAGCAAATCTACAAAATTGGAATGTGAGGCCGGTGCATCCATTGGATGGGGAAAAGGAGTCTCAAGAGCCTTTTCTCTCTGCACTGCACCTTGAGAACATCAGCACTGAAACAATCCCAGGGGCTGTGGGGTCTGCAGGCCCAGCCCCCTCTTAGGAATTCTTTCCAAATCCATCACCCAGACAACAGTGAAAGTGTCTAGGATTCACTGACCCACTTAATGTGCCCCTGAAGTCTCCCAAGCTAATCCTCACAACCACGATCAGGAGTTAACATTGCATTTTCCTGAAAGCCAGTAAAAACAAGAGACACGCACGGTGGAGCTAGCCAGAGATTTCAAAAACTGTGAAGCAGCCGGAGAACTAGTGTCTCGTCCTTCTCGTTGCCTAGAGTTTAAGGACTTTGGTGGGAATGACCCCAATCAGTAATACATTCTCTTCCTTCTTAGAATCACAGAAAAATTGTTAAGTTTTCCATTTGAGGTATCAAATTAAAGAAGGTTGCAGCCAGGAGTGGTGGCTCACACCTGTAATCCCAGCACTTTGGGAGGCTGAGGCGAGAGGATTACCTGAGCCCATGGGATCGAGCCCAGCCTGGGCAACTTGGTGAGACCTCATCTCTAAAATAAATCAAAAAATTAGCTGGGTATGGCTGCGTGCGCCTGTGGTTCCAGTTACTTGGAAGGCTGAGGCGGATGCCTATGCCCAGTAGGTTAAGGCTGTGGTGGCCGTGAGCATGCCACTGCACTCCAGCCTGGGTGACAGAGTGAGACTCTGACTCAAAAATAAAATAAAATACATAAATAAAGTTGCATTGCCATATCTATAGATATATAACCTGAACAGGCAAGAGGGTGGAGAGTGACAAGAAGCGATATTCGGAAATGGTGATTAATTTCTGTAACTCTCTTATTCGTCTTTTACCATTTAGGCAATGTGACTTCCAGGACAGCATGAATCAGCTGCTGGAAAATCTGTCTAAGAGTACTATGTCCTTCATATGGGGAATAGATCTGTGATTGCTCAAGGCCTCAGCATTTACCTTCTTATATAAATGGGAATCCAAGTGAAGAAAGAGGCTTGCAAGAGCTGCTCCTCTTTGAGAAGTAATAAAGCAACACTTTCTCATCTGACAAGGTGCTATGGATGACATGTTTCACTGCCTGCATTTGCTGGACCACAGTGGGTATGTGTGAGACAAAGGGGGGGGAGGGTGTAGTGTGAACCCAGGATGCTGGAAAACTGCTTTCCTAAAAGCACAGACGCATGCTCAGCTCCACCTTCTCTCTTCTAAGTGAGCTGTCTCCCATATAAGGGCAGAAGGAGGCGGATGTCTGGATATCCAACCCCGCTGGGGGCGTGGCACAGCAGCCCAAGGAAAACAACATTTCTCTTTCTTGAATTGAGGCTGCCAATGTGAGGCCACAGAGCAGTGAGACCATGAAACTAGGTGGTCGAGTGGAAAGGTAAAGGACCTGAAGAAGAAAACTCCTGAGGCCCAGGGACAGAGCAGGCATCCTGCTGTCTCCCTAGGAAGTACCTCATGGATGGGGAGGGTGTATTAAATCCTCTGCCCCAGGTCAGAGAAAAATATTTTAATGCTAATTAATTATGTATATGACTTTGGCTCCTCCCTGATTAGCTTAAAAGTCCTATTTTACAAACAAATAATCCCCTACTTAGTATCATAATCCTCTCGGAGGTCAGAGAATGACTGATTACAAATCAGGTCTGGACTGATACAATTCTAATACTCCCCAATCTTAATTTATCAGACAATCTCCCAGCAAAGATACTTCCAAATTAGACTCACATGATCTTAAATGGGTAATGGGCAATAAGGACGAGTCCCTTTCTGAAGTGCCCTCCTCTAGCAAAGGCACCAACAGGATAAAAGGGTCTGCCTTCTTCCCCTATGCTGGCTCCAGTTTCCTCAACCTACCGTATTTACAGTGATAATCCCAGACCTGCAGCCTGCCCACCCTATATAGCGCCCCCATCCATCTGCTGGCCTCTAGCCAACCGCATCCTCCAGGTCTGGCCCTGCTCCCACCCGTGTCCCCCACTTCCAGTGCCAAAGTGGCTTCAGCTCACCATTTGACTTGCGTCCCTCCCATGGTCCCCTCCTGGCTGCGGCTTCAGCAAGCCTGCATCCCCGGGCGAAGTGGGAGGCTGAGAGTCACATCGCTCCCAAATTCGGGCATGTCTCCCCACACTGGGGCCCGAAGAACGATTCCACAGGAAGGCCAGCCAGCAGGACTCCTCGCCCCGACCGCGGGAGAAAGTAGGAAGAGCAGAGGCAGTCGTCTCGGCTCCAGAGACGGGGATGCTCCCAGGTCTGAAGCACGCTGTCCCGGCAGCTCAGACTCTGCCGCAGCCCGGCCTCGGCGGAAGCCGCCTCCCCTCGCGGGCTGCTGGTGCCTGGCAGCAGCATCTTGGTCTCCGCGGACGCGCGGCTCCGGGCATCCCTCCTGGCGGAGGCATCTCAACCCATGTCCGACAGGGAGGGAGACTCCCAGCGGCTCAGGCTGCGCGTCGAGTCCCCAGCGGCGAGCGTGCGGCGATCCTGCTCCGCTCCGCCTCCCGGATCCCTCCGTCCCCTCCCTGCCCTCCCTGCCCTCCCTGCCCAGGCTGTCACACGCGGCGAGGCAGCGCCGGGCTCCCACCCAGGCCGCCGGGCTCCCACCCAGGCCGGCGCTCCGCTGGCCTGGCGGACCAACAGCTCCGGGCAGAGGTAGGGGCGCGGGCCAGGCCCAGGGGCGGGGCTGGGGGCGGGGCTATTGGGAGCCCAGGATAGGCAGGGGAGGGGCCGCAGGTCGCGGAATCACGAGGAGGGCTCTGGCGGTGGGGTGCTGGGGAGCCCGGCACTGAGACAGGAGGCCAGGAGGTCGGGCGGGTCTAGCCCGCAGAGGGCTCAGCCTGGCTTCTCGGGGGAGGGGGAGGAGGCTCGCGGGGTGGAGACTCAGGCTCTCCCCGGGACACTCGCCCAGCGCCCACCTTCCCCTCTGGCGTTTCGTGTGTCCTTTCTCCCCCCCACCTAAAAATCATTTGCTTGGCTACCGTGAGAGGCTGCCCCAGGTTTACGGAGCAACAGGCCGGCAGGGCTGCCCCAGGGCGTCTCTCGACTATCTGGGGCTATTACCCTTCCTATCTTCTGAGCCACTGCCCGCTTTGAGCGAGCCACATTTGGGATCTCCTGGCCTCTTCGCGAGTCACAGAGCCATTAGGTGGGCTTCCTGGGGAGCGAGGACACAGAATGTGCCAAAACCTGCTGAGTTCCAGATAGCCACGGGAAGGCCTCTGCTCTGGGGCTCACAGCAGAAAAGGTGGAGTACTAACTGAGCAGGCCAAAGAGGTGGATGAGGGGTCAGCAGTAGAAGCCAATGACAGAACCAGGAAGGAGTGAAAAACACACAGGGCAAAGCAAACTACTTTCCTCTGACCGCCCCCGCCCCAAAATTGCCACCATTAGCACACTGCAGCCTGCTTTCTGATGGGTCCCTCATTTACAGTTTCAGAGCCCTCCAGCACGCACCCCAGTCAGAGTCCTCCTCCTTGGGAGGAAGAAAGCAGGTGCTCTCAGGAAGAAATCCTGACTCTTTCCCCACTCTTTCCCCAGTCCCTCTCTCTGACTCTGACAGGTACGAACAGGTTCAGAAGAGTGAAAGGCCCGTAGACAAGCAGAAAGCAACAGAGCTCAATATATGACAAAACATCTTTTGATTCTGTTCCAAGTGGTCATCTAAGCAGTAAGCAAGGAAGAAATGATTTGATTCTTATTAAAAGCACACTCACTGCTTAATGGGTATGGGGTTTCCCTTTGGGGAGGTGAAGTTGCTTCCAAGTGGATAGAGGTGATGGTTGCCCCACATGATGAAGGTAATCCTGAATTGCACAGTTTATGTTTAATGGTTGACTTTATGTTATGTGAATTTTATAAATAAAAAAGCACATTTAGTAAATGTAAAAATTTAAAAGTTGAGCAAGGTTACCAGTACATTAAAATGCTGGAAAGAGCTCTATATGACCTCAATAAATTAGGAAATGGTCCATCAAAATAGAATGGAATTTTATGAGGAAAAGAAATACAAGGAAGAAAACAAAGATGTATAAAATACGTATATGACAAGGAACAATTAGGCTTAAATAGAACAGACTTCGTGGGTTGAAGTAGGAGAGGAAAGGTCATTAGAGCATAAATTATTATTCATTGACAAAGTGAAATTGGTATATAAGCTAACATGATCCGGGGAATGTTTATAGGAGCATAACTTACATGAGCCAGGAAAGTAATTTTTATTCTGTTACTATACTTAGCATTGATAAGGTTTTTATTAGAGCACTGTGTTCTGTTTTGGTCTCTGCACTTGGCTCTGTGAGATATAGACAGCTTTCTACCCTCCCTGCTAGGTTTCAAGTGTCTTTGAGGCAGGGGCTTTGCAGATCACAACATCACAAACATCATTAGCTCACAAACATCATTAGTTCACTCAAATACATGAGAATCTACCATAATCCCCAGACCTATAAATGAAAGCTGGAAACGTTCTAATGTTCTCAGACAACTCTGCTCTATTTCCTCTCTTGCTATGAGTGTTATATAGCCTTCTCAGGTCATAACTTAGAGTTACACTTAGGCTCAAAGACAGTGGCATGGAACTGGCTGTCATAAACACTGGCAGCTGATATACAAATGTTAGAAACACTGGACTGGCTCTTGACAGGTTCTAGTCATGCCCCCATGTGGTCACAGTTAAGCATTGGCACCGGGGCTCTGCTTGATTTCTGTTTGTGGGAAATTTACCAGCACCCCACCCTATCCTCCTGCCAACACAAAACCACAAACCATTGCTGAGGGCTATCCCTTTCAAGCCAAACATAAACCAGGGAAAGGAAAAGGGCTTAAGTGCCTTATTGTTTGTTGTGTTGCTATTTGAAGCCGAGAAAGTAGCAATCTCTGAGAATTCCCAAGAATTCAGCTTTCAGAGGCCACAATTACCTGGAGCAGCTGGATTCAGATGGAGACCTTTGTTGTCCTTCATACTGCTGCACCAGGGCCCGCACGCTCCAGTATGGATTCTCAATCTCCTCATCCATGCTGCTGTTCCTAAAATAAGAAGGCACCAGCAAAGCAGAGGGTATCAGTCCTTTAGTTCAGATCAACTCAACATATACCGATGTACTGTCAGTCTAGGAACACTGTAGGTAAGAAGATAAACAGGGCAAAGCCCCTGCCTCAAAGACACTTGAAACCTAGCAGGGAGGGTAGACACAGAAACAAGTAATTCACCAATCTTTGCAGCACCTCAGGGTCATGCTCTCTCTCAGTAGCTACACAACCCGCCAAGCATTTCCTGCTGTGACTCTCCAGTACAGCTTGGCCTTTAGGATACATTCCAGAGCCTTCCCCAGATGATCTGGAACATTGCTCCCACATATCTCCCAGAGAAGAAAACACACTGTGCCAAAGGCATATTTTTAAAATTTGGGCACAAGAGCAAAAATTTACACATGAGATTCTTTTACTTTCTGGTAACTGCAAAATAAACATCTCAAAAGAAAAAGCTTTTCCCTTCTGGGGTGTCCTCCCCCAACCTCCACTCCATGCTTATTTCTGCAATGTGGGGCTGTTTGGGTGATAGTTAGATCTATTACCGATTATCATCTATTATTATTATTAGATGATAATCTAAGAGAAGAAATATCAGACAGAGGGCTCAGTTCCCATCACCAGATTTCTACCCTTACCTCTGTCTGTATCGAAAGACATCCCGTCCTGATCGGGACATGTCATGACACACATCTGCCAGAGCAGCAGCTGCTCCCTGGGCAACAGCTGTGGCACAGTGTGGTTGGTGACTCTGCAGAGGAGCTCGGGAGTCCCGTCCTTGGTTCACCATCCTGCTAGAGCCAGGTTTGAAATGAGCTGCCAAGGCAAGGACCAGCCTCATGATAGACTTCAGGTTTCCTTCCACAATATCTGAAGGACGGAACAGACCAAGACATCCTCAGAGGGAGGCAAAGGCTGAGTGCTTACGTGTGCAATGAGTATTGTTGATGATATAGGTAAGCAAAACGGTCAATGTCTCAGTCCTCACAAAGCTGTGTTCATAAGGGAAACAGAATATGTAAAAGCAATTACAATAAAGTATGATCAGTGTTTTGATCAGAGAAGTACAGGATTCTTTGGGAGGTCAGAGGAGAGGCATCTTATCTAGTCTAGAGGACTCAGGGAAGGATTCCTAGAGGAAGTGAGTTCTAAACGGAGACTTGATTGATGAAGACTGGATCATTAGATAAGAGAAGGAAAAGGGTATTCCAGGAAGAGGGAGCAGCAGGTGTGAAGGTTTAGAGGTGAGAGAGAGAGCATGACATTTCAGCACTGTACTGTCTGACATGGAAGCCACCAGCCACTTGTGACGACTGAGCACTTAAAATGTCACTAGTCTGAACTGAAGTGTGCTATCAGTGTAGCACTTAGCACACACACAAAAAAGGAATGCAAAATATCTCAATAACTTTTAATAATTGATTTCATGGTGAAACGGTAAAACTTTTGATCTGTTGGGTTAAATAAACCTATTATTAAAATTTATTTCACCTGTTTTTCTTTTTATACTGTGACTATTAGAAACTTTTAAGTTACCCATGTGACTTGCATGATATTTCTGTAGCACAGTGCTGTGACAGAGGAACTGAAAGAAGTTCAGCACAGCCACAGCCCAGGGTGCAAGGTGGAGAGAGAGAAAGGTGAGGGCAAATCAGACAGCAGGTCACACAGAGCCTGATAAGCAATAGGAAGGGCTCTGGATTTTATCCTAAGGGCCCTCAGATGCAAAGGAGTGGCATGAGCATATGTATTCTTAGAAAGCTCATTCTGACGTGGTGTGGAGAGCAGAGGGGAGGGGGCCAAAAATCAATAAAGCAGAACTAATTAGAAGGTGTCTCACTTCTCCAGGTAAAAGACACTGATGTCCTGAATGGCAGTGTTCCCTCAAAATAGCTGACTTTAGTGGGCCAGATCCCCAAGCCCACTCCACAGGGGACCAGATCAGAGGTATTATGGCACTCTAAATTTTGCCCTAGAAAAAAAGAGAAACGCAGGCAGAAAACAGTGTGATAGGTCTGATGAAAGACAATGTAAAGAAATAGGTAAAATTTTATTTTTATTTTAGCTTTGTAGACTTTAAATATATAAGGCTTGAAGAAAGATTATTTTTTATTTTTTTTTTTTGAGTTGGCGTTTCACTCTGTCGCCCAGACTGGAGTGCAGTGGCCACTCCTGGCCACCGCAGCCTCGACCCGCTGGGCTCCGGCGATCCTTCCGCCTCAGCCTTCCAAGTAGCCAGAATTACAGGCGCACACTACCACGCCCGGCTCATTTTTGATTTATTGTAGAGATGAGGTCTCGCCAAGTTGCCCAGGAGGGTCTCAAACCCGCAGGCTCAGGCAATCCACTCACCTCAGCCTCCCAAAGGTGCGGGATTACAGGCTGAGCCACCAAGCCCGGCGAAGAAAGATCATTTGATAGCTTTTGCCAGGTGCTCTCAGTGGTAGTACCAGCCCCACCTAAATGACCCCAACACAGAAGACACCAATAATCTAACATGAGCCCTTCTGCCCCCATTCTCATGAGATCCACAAGCAATCAGACACAGGAACTGACAGAGAGAGGACCAGGAAGCCTGGGATACTGACACTGCTTCTTCCCCATATCCTGGGCTCAAAATGAACTGGTAAAACCATCTGGACTATGCCGCCACATAGGAGGACAGATGCAGAGGACACAGAGCCCTGTTCATACTGCCTAGAATGTTCCATGCTATAAAAAAAGGTGCTATAAAATATTTTCCTTCTCGAAAACTGGATGGAAAAAAATGTAGGTCATGAGTATTTGAAATAATATTTGGTCATGAAACCCAAGGAACTTGAAAAACTATCTTCATTTTTGATAACTTAAATGAGACATTCTAAAATTAATGTCCCAATTTTGTAATTTTTTCTCTCATCATTAACTTTCCTATACACATTCAAGCAACTCTGTGTTCAATTAAAATGAATGGAGAGCTTCTGTGTCCAGCCAGCTTACACCCAGGGCTCTCCTGAGGCTGGTACTCACTTGTTAAAGCTGAGTGTACTCATCCACCAAGGATGTGATAAGGCACTGACCTTTAGCCGAAGTCTGGTGCATACGAATCTTTTTGGAAGCCACAAACTGTAGTACTTTCTCCACATTATTCTTCATCTCCTGTTGGTTACTGGGACTCAGCTGTACCCCATTCAGCTTCTCTCCTGCTGTTAAGAGAGAAAAATATATATATGAAGTTATAGAGGGGAATACAGGAAGTCCCCAACATATGAACAAGTTCAGTTCCAAGAGCACATGCATAAGTCCATTTGTTATAAGCTCAACAAAGTTAGCCTAGGTACCCAACTAACACAATTGTCTATATGTATTTAACAGGCTGCACCAACACCTGATGGAGAGAAATAATACATTTAAAAAGCACGAGTGTATCATTAACGTTCATAACTTGAAGGTTCATATGAAGGTGACTTACTGTATTATCGAAGTTTCATAGCAGCCAGACACAGAGGAAGGGAAGATTTGACATGAACACTAAAATTAGATATTAAAAGCTAAGTCCTAGTGAGTCGAGGACTTAGCTGGGGATTTAGATGGGGAATAGGAAAACAAAATCTTTTTAGAGGGCCTTCAAATTTTTACATTTACACCTAGGGGCCTGAATACATTTATTCATTCAACAAATATTCACCAAGCATCCATTGTGTGCCAGGCACTGTTTTGGATACCAGAGAGACAGGAGAGAACAAGAATGACAAAGTCCCTTCCCTCAAAGAATTTACATCTGCATATGTAGCAAGTAAATGTTTAATATAATTTCATAGTAGTGATAAGTGCTAGGATGAAAAATAAAAGTAATCATGGCCTCTCTGATAATATATTTGAGCAGAGGCTTAAATAAAGCATGTTAAGATTTGAGGAGGAGACCTTCCAGACTGAAGAAACTGCAGGAACAAACCTGTGAGCTCAGCTTACCCGAGGAACTGCAACAAGACCGGCGTGGCTGGAGTGGAGTGAGCAAGGAGGCAATCCTAGGAGAGGCTGGCGTGGTAAGCAAGGCCAGGTCATGCAGGGCCATGTGGTCCACAGCAAAGAGCCTGAATTCCACCCTAAGTGTGTATGGGCAGCCAGCGGAAAGTCTGAGACCAGGGAATAACATAATCTGGTTGATATTTTTAAAAATGAACTCTGTGTGTAGATGGACTACTTGGAGAGGGAATAAGGAGATCAGTCAGAAGGATAATAAAAAATAGTCCAGGCAAGAGACAATGGTGGTTTGAGCTTGAGTGGAAGAGGCCGACTGGCAAGAAGTCAGATATTGGGTATATTTTGAAGGATTCACTGTGACTTGTAAGAAAAAGAAAAGGATTAAGGATGATTTTGAAGTGTTCTGCTTTAAGACCTGAGCAAATGGTGATGTGATATGTTACTTAGATGAAGAAACCTAGAGGACAGATGGATTGGGGAAGGGAAGGACATCCAAAGTTCTAATTAGGACGTGTGAAGCCAGAGCTGCATATGCGATATCCAAGTAGAGTCATTGGATATTCATGTCTAGAACTCGAAGAAAACTTCAGGCTAAAGATACAAATTTGGAAAGAGATTATTTAGGGCAGAGGACATATGAGGGCTAAGGACTGAACCTGGTGCACTCTAACATTTAGGGGTCAGGAAGGGAAAGAAACCCAGCAAAGCAAAGCAAACAGAAGAAGCCAGTGAGGAGGAAGAAAACTAGAAATCTATAGGCTCCTGGAAGCTAATTAAAGAAAGTCTTCGAAGGAGAAAGAAGTGAGCAACTATGTCAAGTACTGCTAAGGTGAATAAAATGAGGACTGGGGCCTGACCACTGAATTTGACAAGGTGGAGAATTATGACCTTAAGGAAAGCAGTCCCAGTGAAGTAGTGGGAACAAGCCTGCTAAAGACAAGTTAAAGAAAGAATAAGAAGCCGGGCTCAGTGGCTCAGCCTGTTATCCCACGCCTTGGGAGGCTGAGGTGAGTGGATTGCCTGAGCCCACAGGTTCGAGACCCGCCTGGGCAACTTGGTGAGACCTCATCTCTACAATAAATTAGCTGGACGTGGTAGCGCGCACCTATAGTTCCAGCTACTTGGAAGGCTGAGGCGGAAGGATCGCTGGAGCCCAGCAGTCGAGGCTGCAGTGACCGGGAGCGGCCACTGCGACAGAGTGAGACTCCAACTCAAAAAAAAAAAAGAAAGAATAAGAAATAAGGAAGTGGATTCAGTGAGTACAGACAAAATCTTGGAAGGAGTTTTTCTATACAGCAAAGTCACAATAGAAAGTAGTGTTTAAGAACATTGGTTTGGAAAAATAATACATATTCATATTGCTTGTTATGATAGGATATCTCTGGAAAGAAATGCAAGAAACTGCTAACACTGGTTGCTTCTAGGAAGAAAAATGGGTGGGGGGGACCCATGTAGAAAAAAGGTTTGGGGCTGGGCTCAGTGGCTCAGTCTGTTATCCCAGCACTTTGGGAGGCCCAGGAAAGTGGATTGCCTGAGCCTGTGGGTTCAAGACCAGCCCAGGCACCTTGACGAGACCTTTCCCTACCAAAAAAAAAAAAAAATTAGCTGGGCGTGGTAGTGCATGCCTGTAGTTCCAGCGACTTGGAAGGCTGAGATGGAAGGATCGCTGGAGCCCAGCAGGTCGACGCTGGGGTGGCAGTGAGCGTGCCACTGCACACCAGCCTGGGCGACAGGTGAGACTCCAACTCAAAACGAAAAAAGGCTTGGGACTTCATATCCTTTTATTCCATCTGGATGACCAGGCTGTCTATAACCTACTCAAATGAATGCAAAATTAAATGTTTCAAATGGGCTTTGAAATTAAAATAGATCCAGGTTTGTACCTCTACAGCGGCAGTTAAAGTTATATGAGTTGCTTAGATTCTCTAAACTTCATAAAAATGAGTAAAAGAGTAGTACTTCATATGCACATCATAAATAAATCAAAGAAGCATGCTCAGCTACTTTTCTTGACTATGAATTTATTTATTTTTATAAATTCTCTCTTTTAAACTTGTTTTTCCTGCAAGTAGGGATAATATGATCTGTTTCCCAGGGGTGTGACAATTTTTTTTTTTTTGAATTGGAGTCTCACTCTGTCACCCAGACTGGAGTGCAGTGGCCGCTCCCAGCCACTGCAGTCTCGACCTGCTGGGCTCCGGTGATCGCTCCACCTCAGCCTTCCAAGTAGCCAGAAGTACAGGTGCACGCTACCACGCCCGGCTAATTTTTTTGATTTATTGTAGAGATGCGGTCTCACCAAGTTGCTCAGGCGGGTCTCGAACCTGCGGGTTCAGGCAATCCACTCACCTCAGCCTCCCAAAGCGCGGGATTACATGCTGAGCCACCGAGCCCAGCTGGGGTGTGACATTAATTGAAATTGAATTAAACAAGATAGAAGGTATTCAGTCCTGGCAGCTGCTATTACTATTGTTATTGTCATTACAAATGAATACTCATGAATTCATGAGCTATCTCAGTGAGGAATTTATGAATAGGCTGCCTACTGCAAACCTGGTTTCTTCCATACCACTTGCAAGCCCCACATCCTTCAAGGACTCTAAGCAAAGTCAGCTAACTAATATGACAATAAATATTTGCATACCTATTGTGTGCACTTGGTTAGGGGTTGTGAAAACAGAAAAAAAAAATTATGCTGTATTGCTCTTAAAGAGCTTAGTCTATATAGGAGAGAGAAACTAGTGATTACCACAGATACTTGAGATAAATAATAACAGAGTTATGGACAAATGCTATGGAAATAAAGTTATGGTACCATCTAGTATAATGGTGACAATGCTATAGCTTCAAGAGGAAAAACCCTTTTATGAAGGATTATGATGGTGAGTATCATAGAAGGATCTTTTTGCTGATAACATACCTTCCTTTTTGCCTGGCTACTACTTCCTTTTCTAGCCTTGGTTCAGATGCCAGTTGTTCTTGGTTTAGACATCAATTCTTTTGGCAAATCTCAGCTTAGACATCAATTCTTCTGGTAAACCATCCCTGAACCCCTAGGAGTGTCCTTCCATGTACTCCCATCTATGCTTACCCCATCAGAGTACTAAAGTACATTAATGGAACTGACTTCATTTTCCAGCCTTTCCAACTAGATTGGCATACTCCTGAGAACATAGACTGTACTCATCATCATATTCCCAAAGTATGATACAGTGCCTGTCACACAGTGTATGCTGACTAATAAGTAAATGAATTAACCTAGGGCAAGTATTTTAAGTTTTCCCTACTTCCGTTTTCATATATTCTAGTATTTTCTTTTTTTTTTTTTTGAGTTGGAGTCTCACTCTGTCACCCAGGCTGGAGTGCAGTGGCACACTGATGGCCACCACAGCCTCAATCTGCTGGACTCAGGCGATCCTTCCGCCTCAGCCTTCCAAGTAGCTAGAACTACAGGCATGTGCCACCACGCCCAACTAATTTTTTGATTTACTGTAGAGATGAAGTCTCACCAAGTTGCCCAGCTGGTCTGGAACCCATGGGCTCAGGCAATCCTCTCACCTCGGCCTCCCAAAGTGCTGAGATTATAGGCATAAGCCACCACGCCTGGCCCATTTTCATATATTCTAAAGAAGAAACACTCTGCCTAGAAAGGCATATGAAAGATAAAGAAGGCCATGTTCTGGCATATGCTAGCATCAGAGTCCAGGGCCAACTGACCAACAATCTCGATGAGATATGCCAGGATCACACCATCCCGGAGATCCTGTCGCAGGTCCTGCACAGGCTTCACTGCTGGCCTCCTCTTCAACTGTGCATTCACCCAGGCCACATACGCCTGCAGCTGTTGCTGGAAAAGAAAAGGCAGAAGTAAGGGTAAGGTTGCATCTTAATCTTATCTCCTACCATGCACCCTCTAAGGCAGCATTTGAGACTGGTGTATGGTGGGTAAGCTATCTCCACAGGGAGAAGGAAGAAGTTTTGAGGGAAAAAAAGAAGAAAAATGGCATCATGGTCAGACACAGAGACGGCTCTAAAATTCTCTAGTTTTATGCTGATTTCCAGGGATAAGCTAACCTCTAACTTAGGTGGCACTGTAGACACAAAGAAGCAAGAGAGTGTTTCAGTGACTACAATTCCTGCTTTCCTTGAGTTTTGCTCTATTGATCAGGGACGAGGGCTAGGCCCAGAAACATGGTCAGTTTTCAGTGGATCACTGCTGCCAGTGACCCACTATCATCTCAGGAACGTCACTCATGAGCCAAATGCACAACGGACTGTGGTACTCATAGAATTGCTCTTGGGCAACCAGGAATAACCAATAAACCATGCTCAGAGCTACTTCTCCCATAGCTACTTTCTTCAAAAGGAGACTTAAGTGAAATCATCTCATAGTCAACCCAAGATTTATTCTCCTGAGCCCATAATCCTAGGATTGCTACAGAGTTAGTTTTAATCCATGCTTTATATTGTCAAAGAGGATCTGGTCACCTAAAACCTACATAAAGAAGGAAAAAGAAAGGCTATGGTGAGCAGTATTACTGAAGACTGAAAGGCACTTTCATTTACTTTTAGACAAAGCTAGGGCCCAGTATTATCAGAAACCTGTCAGGCATCCAGATAGGACATATAACTCATCCTAACCCTTGGACAACCTCACATATTTCATCTTGTCCATTAGAACTTGTATTCAGGAGTTTATTCTGATTATTTGGTCAGAAGATTGGCACTAATATCAAATAGTAAACAAATAATGTCATAGTCCAGGTAGCAGCTCTGTCTGGCTTCTGTAGCAGCCCAAGACCCTGAACCTAAAAATTAAAGTCAAGGGCTAATTGCATTAAATTATAATGTGGTTAAAATATAGCTGATTTCTAAGCTCCAAGTACTTCCTTAATAAAATAACATTGGAAATTACTCACTGGCTGTTTCCTGAGTGTCAACTAACTCTCCATTATTTTCTCTTTCTGTTGATTTTGTGGGAATAAATAAAATCCTTTGGAAGACATCACTAAGGCAATAATCTATCAGCTATTTACACACATTTTAATTAGTGGATGTACCACAGGGGCCTGACACATAATTGATGCTTACTAAATGGTCATTATTATTTTTATCATCATCTAATTCAATTCTCAAAACTAAAGAGGCCAGTGCGGTGGCTCAGCCTGTAATCCCAGCACTTTGGTAGGGTGAGGCAGAGGATTGCCTGAGTCTGGGGGTTTGAGACCAGTCTGGGCAACTTGGTGAGACTTCATCTCAACAATAAATCACAAAAACTAGTGGTGGCGTGCATCTGTAGTTCCAGTTACTTGGAAGGCTGAGGCAGAAGGATCGCCTAAACCCAGCAAGTCGAGGCTGCGGTGGCCATGAGTGTGCCACTACACTCTAGCCTGGGCGACAAGAGTGAGACTCCAACTCAAAAAAAACCAAAACACTAAAGAGTCAGCATTAGCTCCATTCTTTGATGAGGTTCAGAGAGGTTATATATAACTTCTTTAATGTCCTCATAGCTAGGACACAGCAGATCTGGTATTGAAATCCAGTAAGCCGGACTCGGTGGCTCAGCCTGTAATCCCACACCTTTGAGAGGCTGAGGGAGTGGATTGCCAGCCATCGGGTTCAAGACCCACCTGGGCAACTTGGCAAGACCTCATCTCTACCATAAATCAAAAAATCAGCCGGACATGGTAGCGCATGCCTGTAATTCCGGCTACTTGAATGGCTGGGGCAGAAGGATCGCCAGAGCCCAGTGGGTTGAGGCTGCAGTGGCCAGGAGCGGCCACTGCACTCCAGCCTAGGCAACAGAGTGAGACTCCAACTCAAAAAAAAAAAAAAAAAAGAAAGAAATCCAGTAAATGTCCAAGCATTTACCAAGGGCCTCTTGTTATCCAGCTAATCCATAGAAAAGAAATGGCTGCATCTTCTGCCTATCGTGGGCTAGGCACCCATGCCTAAGGACCAGTTGAGATCAATATGTAATGTCCAAGGTCTGCTGCACTGCATAATCAAGGCACTGCCTAACCAGCCAAAGGATGCCTCTGGGGTGAACCAGAAAAGGCATTAAGGGTGACAGCTGGGATCTGATTACCTGGCTTATGTATAAAACTCCTAAACAATTTCCCAGTATCTAATATCACTCTCAACCCACACTCCACACATTCCTGCTTAAAATCTGTCACCAGTCTCCCATCATCCTCAAGATAAAACCCAATCTCTTTAGCTGCCATTTAAGTCTATCATATGCTAGTCTTTAGCCTGGTCTCCAGCTTGACCACTACTCTCCCAAAACCTCCATGCTGCTCCTCCAAGCCAGGTACATACAGTCCCCCAAATGCACCATGCTCTCCAGCCCCCGACTTCCTCCTACCTGTTGTCTCTTCTTAAGTATTAGCTCAAGCATAACTTTTTCCAGAAAGCCTTTCCTGATCTCATATGCAACTCAGACTCTGACCTCCTGGAGGGCCTCCTGTATCACACAATCAGTTTAACTCTAATTTGAGTGCAGGCACTGTACCAAGGGATGAAGCTATAAAGAGCCCCATGCCTTCAAGAAGCTTACAGAGAAAGAAGGGAAGGGAAGAGGAAAAGGAGAAACTCGCAGGCTGGTAGAGACAAAGCTGTGACAGGGTGCACAGGGTGCTACTAGAGTGTTAGCCCAACCTGAAGTCCAAGCTTCAGGGAGTGTCCTGAAGGAGGAAAGGAGGCCAAAAGGACAGTGAGTTCAACGGAGCTAAGGTCTGAAAAATAGGCTTTATGTCGGGAGTCACAAGCATTCAGAAGTATTTGACTCTTAGAGAGTAACAGGTGCTCAAAAAATATTTGTTTGAATCCGTGAATCACTTGTCACATTTTATCAGGCCAGGACCATAAGATTACTGCAAAAGTTAATTATGCAAGGACAAACAAGAACCATTATTTTTCACTAGGTCAAGATAATTTCCACTTAAGTAACCACAGCTTTTTTCTTGGCTGTAGAATAGAAGTTATTTCTGTACATTGATCACAGTTCTGGTCTTCCAACAAAAGAAAATTCTTTTGTTGGAAGCATAAGCGATAGCAGCAGTCACCATTTTCCTGAACATTTACTCTGTGTCAAGAGCTATGCTAAGTAGGGTATGGTGGCTCACACTTAGAATGCCAGCACTTTGGGAGGCCAAGGCGGGAGGATTGCTTGAGTCCAGGAGTATGAGACTAGCCTGGGCAACATACAGAGACTCCATCTTTACAAAAAATAAAAACAAATTAGCCAGGCAGGTGTAGTGGTGCACTCTCATAGTCCCAGTTACTCAGGAGACTGAGGCAGGAGGATCGCTTGAGCCCAGGAGTTTGAGGCTGCAGCGAGCCATGATTGTAGCACTGCACTCCAGCTCGGGTGACATAATGAGACGCTGTCTCAAAAAAAAAAAAAGGCAGACTCTCAAGCTCCCCTCCAGCCTATTAAATCAGAACCTGCATTTTAGCATCACCTGGTAACTCATATGCACATTAAAGTTTGAGAAGCAGTGATCCAGCTCACTGGTTCCATACTTGGCTTCATATCAAGGTCACAAGGGAAGATTTTCAAAAGCAGACCTCACCTCAAATCCACCAAATTCTCTCCAGGGGATAGAAATTCAGAAAGCTTTACTTTCCCCTTCTCCACGATTCTTATAAAGCTGACTTGAGTCTGTTTCTAGTTAAACATTCTAGTTGCCTTAACCAAGGGGTTTGCAGCCCTGATCACCCATCAGAATCACCTGGAACATGTGACAGACCATGAGACCTGATTAGGCCAGCATCAGTTGAGTAAATTTGGTAACTTATATCAAGGAAAGGGACCTCAAGATAAAAATCCACAAAGAGACACTGATAACAGCAGAAACCTGCTTAGCCAGCTCAAAAACATTTGCTGCTAGTTCCCAGCAAACAAACAAACAAAAAACAGTTAACCATTCACTCTAGTTGCATGGTAAACAAGAAGTATTAACTAATCCTAGGATTAGTATTGCTAACTATTACTGTTAACTAACCTTATCTTAGAGAAACAAAACACCGCCATCAATCAGCCGCTTCACAAACTTCTGGAAATTTCCTTTCGCAGGTCACCCTCAAGACGGTTCCCTGGCCCACACTAGACCTCTCTTATAAAAACACCCCTCCGGCTCCTTCCTCTTCACAGACAGCAGACATCCTCGCTGCTGTCCTGCCTGCTGTGCCCTTCACAACGTACCTTCCTTTTAATCAATCTACTTTTCTTAATTCATAACTGTCTTGGTGAATACTTTCACCCCCTGTGACTCTGGCCATACCAAACCTACCCAGCCTGCCAAGCATGGCAGAAAGCTTTTTTTTTTTTTTTTTGAGTTGGAGTCTCACTCTGTCACCCAGACTGGAGTGCAGTGGCCGCTCCCAGACAACGCAGCCTCGACCTGCTGGGCTCCCGCGATCCTTCCGCCTCAGCCTTCCAAGTACCTGGAACTACAGGCGCACGCTACCACGCCCGGCTCATTTTTTATTTATTGTAGAGATGAGGTATCACCAAGTTGCCCAGGCGGGTCTCGAACCCACGAGCTCAGGCAATCCACTCACCTCAGCCTCCCAAAGGCGCGGGATTACAGGCTGAGCCACTGAGCCTGGCTAGAGAGCTTTTTTAAAATAATGTCTGGGCCCCACCATAGACTAGTCAGAATTTCTGAGGGTGAGACCCAGGTATATCAGTATTCCTCAAGTGCTCCCAGGTTCACACAGAGATGGTGAGCCAAGGTTAACCATTCCTTACATAAAACAGTTACAAATATTATGTTTTTCTGGTCTCAACCTCTCTGAAACCATGACACCCAGGACCTAACACAATACTCTGGATATTGT